CTTGAGGTTCGTAAATGTATCAAAATAGTGAAGTCAAAAACCTCCGTTGGCCTTTTTTAAAATGAAAATGAAATACTTTGGATCCTTCTGTTATGTAACACTCTGATGCCGTACTGTGTGCGACTTGTGCTACAGATGTAAGAATCATAAGTTCTCACACATGGTGAACATCTGGATTTAAAAACAATCCTTTGGGTTTCAATGTACGTTTTCTGCGTTCAGTATGTAAAAAATAATTGTTCTCAGACATGAGAAATATTCAAATATTTGAATCTAAATCAGAATTTTACAAAACAGAATTGATGGGGCCGCCACTATAGTTCAACTGGTTGAGCTGGTGTCCCATGTACAGGGGCTGTGGTCCCTGATGCAGTGGCCATGGGTTCCAATCCCGCTCATGGCCCTTTGCTACAAGTCCTTCCCCAGTTCTTCTCCCCCACTTTCCTGTCTCTCTCTTCACTGTCCGATACAATAAAGGCAAAAAGGCCAAAAAATAACTTAAAAAAAAAAAAAAAAATTCATAACTTAACCCACAACAAAACAAACAAAGCCCCAACAACTGTCTACAGTCATCAATACACAGTAACTTGCCATAGTTAGAGTAAGTTCTGTTAAACTGCACAACCTGCACTGACTTCAGAATTCATGAAGACGCAAACTATAAGAGTTTTTTCTCCATTTAAAGATATTTTATTAAACTATATTAATACATCACGAAGTAAATAAATAAAGGTTGGTTGCTGTAAATCTCCTCACTTGTCTGACTGTAATCTATTCATGGGAAAGTGAGTCAAAGTTGACTCATTTCTGTTGCCTTCGCTCATAATGATGCTGAAACTGTGTCCAGGGACGGCTACACTCACAGAAAAGATCTCCTCCTTCAAATTCTGAACATTATCCAGGTGAATGCAGGATCGCCTTCACAACACATCAACATCCTGGAAAGAAGCTATGCAGAATTTTGCATTAGCGACGTCATCTCAACCAAAACGGTGCTGTTTGCTCGTGAATAATGAATAAAACTATTGAGTTTAAATTGCCGTGGCAAGATTCTTCAAAATATTTTTGGACACTGTGGTGACAGTGCCACTGCAGCCCAACACTCCTTACAATGCGGCTGTTTTGTTGTCTGCTGGCTTACAGTATGTGCTGGCATGTGGACACCTTGCACTGGAGGATGTGTCTATAAAAAAAAGAGAAGAAGAAGCTATTACACAACAACGCTGCCAAATGTAAGCATATGGCTCATTGTTCCAGCTTTTCTTGTCAACACAAGGTGAGATGTCTCATTATAACATACACAGAACAAAGCACTACAAATGCGCGGTTTCTATTAGGTTTGCAAGTAACTGTGTGATAAAAACACCTCGTAGTTTTCTCCAGCGTTTCACACGGTAGCGGCAAATGAATTAATGAACCAAAGTTGACCTAAAAACACGACAATATTTTTGTGCTCAGTTCGTGTATGTTGCTGCCAAAGCTGCAAGCAGCGTTCGTTCGGTTTATTAGCTGCTACACAATGTCACACTGGACAGCGACAGACCTGTATCATATGTTTTCCTGCCAAAATAAAAGTTGCCTAACTTTTTGACAGATTTATTTATTTTTTTATTAGCTGTATCTTTAGAAAGAGTAAATGATGTGGCCAGTATTTAATCCATAAAGGTAATACTTGTGCTCAGCTCATGTGCATTACAGCAGACAAAATTCTCCTCACACAACGTCTGCAAGTCATACCAATTATAATTAGACAGCTTTTTGATCAATTGCGAACCATTTAGTTTATGAAATGTTACAAAATATACTTGCTCTGAGCAACTTCCCAGAGCCTGAAGCTGTATCCTTGAGCGTCTCGTTATGTTTGACCTAAAGTCTAACAGCTATTTTTACATATTCTTTAACAAAGATAAATGACAAAAGCAGGAAAATGGAAGCAGAAAGATCTGTCAGGTAATTTATTAATTGTTAATATCAGTATGACTGTAAACTTCTACTAATACGATAATCAAATTCTATGAGTATACCAGTTGTAATCTGATTATTTTTCAATACATTTTCTGTACAGTAACTAATCAATCATCTTCTTCACTTTTGATTTCAGGTTCACACATCAGGTTAACAAATCTAAAAGCAACACCTGGAAAAAAATAAAACAAAAAAGAGGATTTACAACTTGGATGTAAGACTTGACTTAATTGAGACTAGATTTGATTTGGGA